TTATTTCCTGTTTTCAGTAAAGCATCATGTTGGGTGTCAAGGATGCATTGGGCACTCTGTCACCTCACTGTCAAATTAATTAATTCACATTCCCACTGCAGACAAAAGTCACGTTAGCAGATGTTAGCATTTTTTTTTTTACCAGTAGATGACGGGCTTTAATGAGATATGTGTATGTTGTTTATTGTACTTTTTAACTTTTGGTAAACTATTTCCCCCCTGCTTCATTTCTTCATGGTGACCTTGGCTAATTCCTGTTTTCTGTAGCAGTTGCTGATGATTAAGAACCGCAGCTTAGCCTGGCATCTCCAGACCATTTCACATTTGGAAGTGGCTGTGGGACATCTTGATTGCTTTTTGATTTCCAAAGAATGTTATCAATGCCTCATTGGTAATTCCTCTTTCATATGTTTAAGAGCAAAAGAAGAGAGTAGCTTTACCAGTCTGATTGCTGTTGGTGGGAGGGTGAGGAAGACATGCAGCCGTCGCTCGAATGGAGGATGCTTTGCTGCTCTCTGAAATCTCTCCAACATTATGCATATGTACTGAGAGATAAAGAGACAAATAAAGTACCCAAGACATTCATTTGATATTTAATTTTTTTTTTTCCATAATGTGTTTTATTTCTTACATTTTGATCCTGAGCTGATGCTGGATAACCTCTGCACAAGATCGTTCCTGTTGATCTTTGTCAATACTTTCATGGTCACCTCCATAGAGTGCTCATTATATGTGTGCACAATGAGGTCCAGTGTGTCCAGCCTGTCTGCCTTCTCTAAATGGCTCTTTGGTATAGCTGGGAAGCCTTCCAGGATTTCAGCCTGCTGCAGGAACCATTTGAAGATTTTTAGTTCTTCATGTGCCAGATCCTCCAGTGTTTCTAGGAGCAGCTCTGTAACTGCCGCCATCATTGGTTCCTAATAAATTAGAGGATGTTTTGCCTCTGACAAGGACATGATAAAAAAAAAAGATTGTATCACAGCATCAGATGATACAGTGGGCTCTGTCTATTGTTTAATTATTGGTAATCATAATATATATAGAGAGAGAGTACTTATCAAAATTCTGATTACAAAGTGATTAACAAGGCAACAATCAAAACAAACAAGTCATACAATCATCAGAATTGAAGAAAAATAGTTGTTATAGTTAAAAGACAGTAGAAAATAAGACAAATTATGTATATGTAATGTATATTCCAGAAATGACACTCTATATGTGGATTCATATCTTGAGAACCCTTCATCTTATCAGCTTCACACTTGGTATGTGCATCTTTATGGGGACAAGGAAGTGCAGTGTTGAATTTGGTATGATTTGGTCTCAGGATACATTCAATAATAATAAACTGCAGAGTTGTGTGGCCAGGGTCCAGCTTCCAGGGACTGCTTTACTTTTCTTTTCATCGTTTCTGAGAGAATGCTGCAACCAGCATCACCACAKGCCAAGTTAAAAGCCTGTTTCAAACTGATAGTTCAAGTAAAAGCAAGAAAGCCTCTCTGATATCAGTATAACTGTAAAAGCTTTAGATTTTAGCCAGTACACTATAGGACAGATAGGTGTGATCATGCCTATACAACATGATTTGTCTATAATATTTAATAGGCAGCACTGCCAGCAAAAACACGATGTTCCTTAAAACTGTCAGGTCTTGGTGAGAAGTTAACACAGTGATTTTCCAGTGTTGTACATAACCTTTCTGTAACTTGCAGTCTTACAGTATGTCAGTAGAAGTTGCTTAAAAGGGAAGTAAAATAAGAGGAACAAAATGCTTTGTTGTCACTGTGTGTAGATTTCACATATGCAACACAATTTTAGACAAGAATT